AAAAGGGGGTACTACGAGCCCTTTGCCTCACGCATCTAACCTGGTTTACTGGCCCACCAACTAGAAAAAGTGAAAAATTAGATACAAGGTGCGCTTGAAGTAGGGGATGTGCTGTCCCTATTGGGCTGAGCCCTTTCCCATAAGGCCCCACGAGGCATAAGCCCCCTCTTGTTACCCATATGTATCGAATCACCAACTACCAAGTAAACAATATGAGTAAGGAAGAGTCGAGCCTAGCCCTATTATAGTCCCGGTTCAGAGTGAACAATTGTTGACTATCTCACATTTCTTAACATTCAATCAACCTGAAATTTCGGGTTAGACCAAAAGATTTTTTCAATCAACTCGGATTCAGACCCGTGTTACATGAATTTCTTATTGAAAAGAGTATTTCAAAACCTTAGAGGCTTATAAAGGATGAAAACATTAGGGTTAATGGTTTATTTATTTAAAAAAATTAATATATGAATGTAGTAATACATGAAGATCTTATAACTTGAAATATGAGAAACTTTATGAAAGTGTACTTGCTCCACAATAATGCAAAAACCTTTCTCTAAAAAGGAATTATTTATTTATTTATTTATTTTTTTTGTTTAATTTGAATTTTCAAAAGTATTTTTTTTTAGCTGCTTTATACCTTATTTATTTCATTACTTTCAGTATGATGCATCAGGGTTGTCTATAGAATTAGTTGTTAAATATTATGTCTAAAAAGTATTTATGAATTAATAAAGATCAACAAAGGGAAATCGGCCATTACAACCTTAATTAAACAAAAAATAATAGTTAGTTCTAACATTATTAGCGGTTAGAAAGATGTTCTAACTTAAAAAAGACTTAGTTCACCCAAGCACTTCTCATACTCCAAGCACTTGGATACTCCACCGTGATAGACTCTGTTCCATTGTTGAACACATGCAATTGAGCATCCTCAAACACTGCCTTTGTTGGGTATACCCTCGAAGTTATGCATGTTTTTCCTCTTCCACTAAAGCTCTCTATAACCGAGTGATCAATCTGCACAATAATACATAGTTTAGATTTGCCGATACGGTGCCAGAACGTATTGGACTATGACTTTAACGTACCAAGCTTCTTAATGGGAGCTTTTTACTCGACAAATCGATGTCGACGAAACCCGCAAATGTTGGCTTGTATAATCCATCTTTCAAAGAAGAGCTACACCAAAAGAGAGAAACAAGAGCTTTGTAAATATGAAAAAATAATTATAAGGTCCTTTGATAAGGGAATTGAAGCTACCTTCTTACATCATAGCACATAAGAACCACTGGTTAGCCTCTGCCTTGAAGATCCTGAAGAATACAGGAGTGAACTCCTCGAGGTTTTCTGAAGCCAGAGTCAAAAGCCCAAAGGGTCCGACACCACCTTGGGCCGTGGCTCCCAGCTGACTGCACACGGCTTGTGCGTCAACCCAGCTTGGATCAAATGCCTCCGCGTTATCCAAATTCGAAAAGCTAAAGATAACTTCAACATCGGCCTGTATAAAACACAAGAAACAATCGATCAAATGACACCCAGTTTGTTCCCTTAATCTTAGAGGTGCTTTCACATCTTCTTAACCCGCTACAAACCACTGTCGGGGATTTGGGTTAAGATCGGATTCGTTATAAATTAAACAACCTGAGCCGCAGTAATTCCTTTGATCTCAACATTTTGTCCCTTGACTAGCTTTTGATTTAGCATCATAACTATCTTCTGTCTCAGCCTATTGAGCTCCATAACTGGCCATTGTAAGAGCAGCTTTCCATTGGGATCCAACCACACCGTCCTAGGAATCGCCTAGGAAAAGGAGAAAGAAAAGGTCGACCCAAATACAAAATAGAGCAAATTCAATTAAAAATAGAACAAAACGGAGCACATTGCATCTAAAACAAACCTGAATTCCCGCCCATCCCTTGGAAACATCATCCTGGACACTATCAGATTCATTAGTCCAACCCCACAAAACCCTTCTCTTCTTCATCGGATCATAGAACGACTTGGAAGCATAGAAATTGTCATAGTCATACCTCAGCCCACTCCACCCATCCGTCGAGGTATTATCGGGAACATACTTGTCCGTCATCGGATAATAGTTCCCCAGCGTATAATACTCATATCTAGTCATCTCCAAGCTCACCTTCAACACATGTTTAAACCAATTTCCCATCACTGACTTGTCCAAGCCAAATCTACCGAAGTGGGAAACTGGGTAGAAATCAGGGCACTCCCACATTCCTGTATTCAAAACCGAATGTAAAGGCTGTTCCACCTTAGTCCAATTCAAAAAATCCCTACTTCTATACAAATACGCCATTCCCGTCTGCTCGCTCCTGCTGCCAATGATGGTGTTCCAGTGGCCGTTGAGGCTCAGCCACGCCGTCGACGGGTCTCGAAAGGCGCTACTAGTATTGACCTCCGTACCCGGGTCAACAATCGGATTGTTATCCGGTTTGACCCACTCGGTTAGATGCGGATCAGAGAGGTTCGCTGGAATGGCGTAGTTTTGTACCTGTCGATTCTGGGAGTCGATTCCAGTGTATAAAATGACGGGCTTAAGGCTGGGGTGGATGGTGGCAGAGCCAGACCAACAAAAATGCTTATTTTGTTTAGCTTCCAACTAAGGCTCAGGGAGTTCTTTCCCCGGGATTGATTGAACGATCTCATAGCCCTCCACCTGTATCCCACAAAAGCGCTTATTTATATAAAATGTATAACAATCGGATTGTTATCCGGTTTAGCTTCCAACTAATAACCGATTTGCTCTTAGATTGGACCATTGTTCCTCCTTTTCTACATGACCTATATGTAGGTGGGAAGTACACACCGAATCTTGCATTAAACCAATGTTTATCGAAGTTAACGTGTATGCGAATGCTCGCTTCCTTACTTCAGTCCGAGGATCCTCGATACATTGATCCCCTATCATCTCATGATATTCTTTCAGTATGCTTTTGGTCAGAGTGATATATATCCTCCAGGCAATGAAGTTAGGGCTATCGAGTTGTGTTTCTTTACGCATTGTAGCTTTGTTGGGATCTTGGACGACGGTCGGGTCCACTTCGAGAATTGCTTGGAGTACCAGTGCCCAAAAAGAAAAGGCACCTACTACAAGGGACATGGTGAGCATAAGATCGAGGGAGCTCTTATAAGGCTAGTGAATAAGGTCTGAAACCCAATATGAAAACATATCTGCTAAACCTCGATCAGGTATTTCTCGAAAGATCCTTTTAGCTCGCGCTGCACTAGGTAGACCTCCCAAAATACTTATCGATTTGAAGGGGCCGCTTTGGCTGACCCGAGTTTAAGAAATCCATACCAAGGTTGTATATGTTTCCACTATCTCCTTAAGGAAGATTTTTTAGACCAACTCGTTCATGATCGAATAAGATAGTTATCGTCCTTTTGAGTTTCCCACGTTCTAGTGGACCTGCTTTAAATACATTTAAGGCTGTTGTTCATTCTTTGCTTACACAAGAAGAAGAGGAAACCCACTCTCTTCTTTCTTCTTTTTTAGAACCAAGTCCTTAAAGACATAGTAACAATTATGTTAAGAAACTAGTTTGTTCAGAATTTTGTTGATCTCGTTAGATACAAATTGTCGAGCCCAACCAAAAAAGATGGGGCTCGGTATAGCCACAGTCCGGTTCCCAGGTTAGAGTATTCTTTATTATCAGCCTACTCAAATCAGAACTCAACTAGTAGATTCTCTTTCGCTTAACGGCCGGCTTTCATTGTTGCAACCTTCGCATTTCCTGCTGAGATCCCAAGTCTCCATGTGGGCCCTTTTGGCAACCAGCGACCTTGGCGTTTTAGAGAATCCTGCTCCTGTGTCGTGGGACTTGTAGCTCGGCAGTCCACCAGGTGGGTTTTTTATCCTTCCAGTATCGAGTGTGTTCTTGGATAGTTATAGCGGCCCATAGGCGCAAGATGTACCTTGTGTGTGGGGGGCGGCGGTCCCCTGGACATAGTCCTTTCAGACAGTGGCCGTTGTTTAGTCCATGGTCCATTAGATGGTCAGTGCAAGGTCTGAAATTTGAACACATTGATTTCGCTCATTCTCGTCCTTCGCTTCAGGGCCTGTCCATCGGTGTGGTCAGTACTCCATACTGTCGGGTAGCGAAGCTGACACTTGTTCACTAATTATGACGGTTCGCCAGGGCCTCTTTCCTCCTCCCTTTTCTGCTCACTCCTAGGGTCCAGACCCCCACAAAAGGGGTGGGAGTCGACTGAACATCTCAGCCGTTGGCGGGAATTTTGCCCACATCCGATCCCCAATTCTTGCTCACCACCGATGATCGTGTTGGGTGAATTGTGACCTCGTACAATCGTGTCGGGTGAGCAAGAGCCGCTTCGTCACAGTACTGGCTTATAGGCTAACGGGTCACACTTTGATCAAGTATCCTACAAAGAGATTCCCGAAAGCCAGAAGGATTAAAGGAATGGCCATAGGAATGAGCGCATCATGACATCTAACGATGTCTCGCCCGAATGAATTAGTTGGTACTAGAAATGTTAGAAAAAGTGAACGAAAAGAGTAACAAGAGGTGAAAAGGACAGAGACACTTCCCAACCAGATAGAAAAGTTCTCACTGATGGTATACTTAGTGTAAGCGAGCTCTAAGATCACATCTTTGGAATAAAATCCAGCTAGAAAAGGAAATCCTATTAGAGATAAGCTGCCCATGAACATCATGGCATAGGTAAAAGGAAACGAGGAGGCAAGCCCCCCCATCTTCCGCATATCTTGCTCATCCGACATGGCGTGAATCACCAAACCTGCACTTAGGAATAGTAATGCTTTGAAAAACACATGATTCATTAAGTGAAAGACGCTAACTGAATAGTTAGAGATGCCGCAAGCAAAGATCATATAGCCTAATTGACTGCAAGTTGAATAAGTTATGACCCTCTATAGATGGTTCTGTAATATTCCAGTGGTTGCCGCAAGGAATGACATTGTAGCTCTTGCAAAAGTAATAACAATCAAAAACTAAGAGTTAGTTCTAACATTATTAGCGGTTAGAAAGCTGTTCCAACTTAAAAATGACTTAGTTCACCCAAGCACTTCTCATACTCCAAGCACTTAAATACTCCACCGTGATAGACACTGTTCCATTGTTGAAAACATGCAAATGAGCATCCCCAAACACCGCCTTTGTTGGGTATACCCTCGAAGTTATGCATGTTTTTCCTCCCCCACCAAAGCTCTCTATCACCGAGTGATCAATCTGCACAATAATACATAGTTTAGATTTGTCGATACGGTGCGAGAATGTATTGGACTATGACTTTACGTACCAAGCTTCTTAATGAGAGCTTTTTACTCGACAAATCGATGTCGACGAAACCCGCAAATGTCGGCTTGTATAATCCATCTTTCAAAGATGAGCTACACCAAAAGAGAGAAACCAGAGCTTTGTAAATATGAAAAAATAATTATAAGGTCCTTTGATAAGGGAATTGAAGCTACCTTCTTGCATCAGAGCACATAAGAACCACGTGATTAGCCTCTGCCTTGAAGATCCTGAAGAACACAGGAGTGAACTCCTCGAGGTTTTCTGAAGCCAGAGTCAAAAGCCCAAAGGGTCCGACACCACCTTGGGCCGTGGATCCCAGCTGACTGCACACGGCTTGCGCGTCAACCCAACTTGGATCAAATGCCTCTGCGTTATCCAAACTCGAAAAGCTAAAGATAACTTCAACATCGGCCTGTATAAAACACAAGAAACAATCGATCAAATGACACCCAGCTTGTTCCCTTAAATCTTAGAGGTGCTTTCACATCTTCTTAACCCGCTACAAACCACTGTCGGGGATTTGGGTTAAGATCGGATTCGTTATAAATTAAACAACCTGAGCCGCAGTAATTCCTTTGATCTCAACAATTTGTCCCTTGACTAGCTTTTGATTTAGCATCATAACTATCTTCTGTCTCAGCCTATTGAGCTCCATAACTGGCCATTGTAAGAGCTGCTTTCCATTGGGATCCAACCACACCGTCCTAGGAATCGCCTAGGAAAAGGAGAAAGAAAAGGTCGACCCAAATACAAAATAGAGCAAATTCAATTAAAAATAGAACAAAACGGAGCACATTGCATCTAAAACAAACCTGAATTCCCGCCCATCCCTTGGAAACATCATCCTGGACACTATCTGATTCATTAGTCCAACCCCACAAAACCCTTCTCTTCTTCATCGGATCATAGAACGACTTGGAAGCATAGAAATTGTCATAGTCATACCTCAGCCCACTCCACCCATCCGTCGAGGTATTATCGGGAACATACTTGTTCGTCATCTGATAATAGTTCCCCAGCGTATAATACTCATATCTAGTCATCTCCAAGCTCACCTTCAACACATGTTTAAACCAATTTCCCATCACTGACTTGTCCAAGCCAAATCTACCGAAGTGGAAAACTGGGTAGAAATCAGGGCACTCCCACATTCCTGTATTCAAAACCGAATGTAAAGGCTGTTCCACCTTAGTCCAATTCAAAAAATCCCTACTTCTATACAAATACGCCATTCCCGTCTGCTCGCTCCTGCTGCCAATGATGGTGTTCCAGTGACCGTTGAGGCTCAGCCACGCCGTCGACGGGTCTCGAAAGGCGCTACTA